TTTTTAATTTGTTTTTTATCTACGCAACTGTAAACTTTAATAAAAATTTTATTAAAAAAAGGATGGGTAAAGTAATAGTTTTTCTTAGATAACGGCATGTCTTTATATACAGTACTATATTTTTTGAGTCTCTGGAGGCAGCACTATCTTGCTGAGTTTGGAAGCTAAGTAGGATCTAACTTGGAGTAAAACTATGTCCTAGAAGAAAATAAACTACTTTCCAGCTATTGCCAAGAAAACTCCATTGATATATCCGTAAAATGATCAGATGTCGAGCCACTGTTAATTCATAACCATAGCCAGTTTCTTTGGTTCATGGCAATGCTAAATTGTAGTCAAATAGCTTATTACTTTATATTACACTGCATTCTTTTAGGAGTTACTATTAGAATTGGAAATACTTGTCCAGATATCTGAAGACAATGAATTAATGAATTATTAGTATAAAATTATCTAATTGTAATTTCATTTCAGTAATTTCATTGTTAATGGTGACTATGCATTTGTTGTTCCTCATAAAACATATTAATAGAAGAATCCAGAAACAGAATAGAAAATCGGAGCAAGGCATTTCCTTAGTATGATGTGCTTATTTCTGAAATTGTTTTGCAACAGCCATTACAATAGCAATTCAGAGTAAGTGGTGCATTTCTAAGATCCTACTTACAGAAACCAAAATACAACCCTGACACACAAATAAAAGAATGTTAAATAGTAATCTGTTTTATTGGATTTTTTAAAAAATAGAAATAAATATTTTTCCCTCTGTACTATCACTTATTTTGAAGGCCTAAACTTTCCTGAATACAAAGAAATTAAAGAAGCATGATTTTGTGCAATTTAGAAATTTGAGTGCATAATTCATAATTCATTTATTTTATTAAATGAATTTATATATCAGCCCAACACACACATAGGTGATTCTGTGTGGCTTACAACATTTAAACAATCCAACTATAGAATAAAAACCTATGTAAAAAGCATACCCCACCCCTCATGGCAGAAAAAACACAATCACTTGATCGGCTTCATTTCTATTGATGGTCCTCACTGCCTGCTATTAAAACCACATTTTTGGGGCCCTTAGGATCAATCCATTCACCAATAAGATTTCTTAAAAGCAGTTCTGCTTTGAAATCCATTTCTTTGCTTAGCATTAAGTTACAAGAAAAATATATATGATTTTTAAAAGATTTTATCCAGTCATGTTATACTTTAATCAGTTATTATTTACTTTAACTGAGTAATAAATTATTATTCCTTGAAGTGTAACTGCAAAATCAATTTTATTACATTAATAACACTGTACATATTGAGTACTTGTTTTTCTCGGAAACACATGGGGAAATGTCTGTTGCTCTAATCCTATTAAAAATAATCTTAGATGAAAATATGAAAGTACAGAAAAACTGGTGAAAGGAACTCAAAATTCTACTAAATTGCCTAGAAAAATTGTTTGATTTTTCTCTTCCCTCACTTGCAGATTGAAAGATTGCTTAAATAAGCGAGGGGGGGGGGGCAAACAAGCAATTTCTGTAAACAAACTCTCCTGTGCCTGACCTGTTTTTTCTCACCACATTGTAGAGCAGAGATTGGAGTGAAAGGGATTACAAAAGAGTAAGCAAGTACACAATGGGGAATATACCAGACTGTTTGCACAACATGCTTGCAACTATCAGCCCTGAGCATGCTTGGGGCTGCCAGCATCATTGCATTCCTTTTGATATGTATTACCCATTGTGTACCTGCTTGCTCTCTCTAATCTCTTTTACTCCAATGAATGTAAATATAAACATTCTCTTCTTACTAATTATGCCAGTACTGGGGTGAGCTTTCCAAAAGGTGGAGGAGTCGGAAAGGAAAGCACAGTTGCAGTCACATGATTTCCATATAGGGGAAAATGATTTACTTAATGAGAGTTGCTGGTCCCAATTGTGGTTGCTAAACAAGGACCACCTGTATATAACAAGCAAGTCATTATTATGACTTCAGCTTCCACAAATCTAATATTTGTTTTGACTTTAAGCAAATATGTAAACACTTATTTACATATTGATAATTATATGAAATGCTGGATTTTCATTAAATCAATTGCAATTCTGAACTTTTGTGTCAATAAGATCAGGATTTTTATTTTAACAGAAATGGGTTGCAACCTTGTATGAAATAAATACATTAGCATTCACTGCAACAACTATGCCCTCAGGTTCCTATATACCTGTATTTTTTAGAAGTAAATCCTATTGAACTCAATAGGTTTTCTGAACAGCATATATAAAAACAATTGGACACTGTCTGCAGATCCCGCATATAAACATTTTGTTTTATCAATGAAACATCTGCTTGTTTCATTTTATGTACTAAGTGAACATTTAATTCATTTTCTGTACAACATGTTGGAACTGAATTTAAATCAGCAGTGTCAATACTACATAGATGTTTATTACGGCTTCCTATTAAATCTTCAAGAAATGCAGAATGGTATATTGGATTTTTAAAAATTATTCTAGTAAAGGAATGATGACATTTTGTTGGTTTATGGTTTACACTTGAGCATTATTTTTATGCTTCCTGTAGCATAGCTATCAAGTTATTTAACAGACCTTTCATCGACAATATCTGTACTGTATTTTTTAACTACAATGTATCTAATTTAAGAATTGGGTATGGAGTATGCAGCAATTTTCAATTTTAGGTAGAAAGTTTGTTTTTTAAAGTAAAGATGACAGTGTATTTATTTGGGAACAGGTCCCACATAGGCGCAGAGAGAATTGCACTGAAAAAGATTTATATTTGGCAGGTGTTAAATTTTTTGAAAGAAATCCAGAAACCACTTATCGTTGCACCATATGCTTTCAGTTTAATGCAAAAGAGTTTTTGTCCAATGCTGGCATCTCCTCCAATTCTTCCCTTTGCATTCATCTTTTTTTTTTTAATTGCCTGTGGCAGAAGTGAGGATCTATTTGCCAACTTCGTTTCCTTTTCATTCCAGATGCTACATCTCCCAGACCATATCATCCAGCACTCACTTTTGAGCAGTCAGTGCCAGGATCGGCTATTAGTAAATTTAAATTAACTGCAGTTAGTGTAGTGGGACAGATGTATTATGCAATTCCAGAGGAACAGGTGAGCAGGATTTTTTTTTTATGATTTGGAGCATGGCAGCGCTGCAGCACTATCAGAATTTGCAGCATTTCCTCCCTCCTTTCATAGAATTAGGGAAAAAGACTATTTTCTCAGGCATTAAAAACAAAAAAAAAAACCCAACCGGCAGAATCTGTTTTTAAGGCAACATTTGACTTTTACCCACGCCCACTCAAATTATTTCACTGGACTAATTCTTTCACGACGAAGCCCCAGAGGGCATCCGTTAGTTTTGTTGTTGTTGTTGTTGTTGTTGTTATTTTTGAAAGCTGAGATGTTACAGTATAATAGCAGAGCTGGCACATTCGCCTCCTTAGTGACAGCAGCTGTCGCTATAGGCGGTGGGGGGATGGCGACAGCTGAAGAAGAAGAAGAAGAAGAAGAAAAAAGCTGTGTGTGTACAACCGAGGGGCTGCATGGCTCACTGGCTCTGTGGTAGCGGTACCCTTTGTCGCCGCCGTCGCCTTTGGCGTTGGAGAGCGAAATGGAGGTGCCAAATCAGGCGGGGTGTGGGAAAGGAAAAGCGAGGGACAGGCGGGGCTGAAACATAAGGTCTGCAGATCGCCGCATGCATTAACTCACTCCCGGCGCCTGAGCCGCCTTCAGCGGCCGCTATTCCCGCCTCGCTCCAGCGCCCAACCAGCCTCGTCAACTCCCGTCTCCCGCTAGCTTGAGGAGGAGGAGGAGGAGGAGGAGAAAAATTGCTCCGAGAGCGCCATCCCCCCTCAGGCTGAAGAGCAGAGCCAGGCGCCCGGTGGATTACATGCCTACATTTCTCTAGTTCTCAATCTCGGAAGGGGAGGGAGGGGAACCAAAACAAATCGGAAAAAACGGGGAGGGAGGTAAAGGGAAAGAATTGCCAGCCTGCTCAAGAAGGATATTTCTTTCCCCTCCGTTTCTGGCTTGCCGCCCAGTGATCGAACTGCCCTTGGAGATTTATAGCAGGGAAGAAGCCCCGAGAGATGGAAATCCGTGCAAGAGCCGCGGCTGGGCCCCGCATTGCTTGAAAGGCGCGCTGAGGAGACCCACGCGCACGCCCTCTCCCGGAGCCCGACAGGGGCCAGCCGCGCCATGCCGACCCGCATCCACAGAGCAAGTCCTCGGGCGCAATGAGGCAGCCGCTCGCCGCCCAAGGTTGACGCTGTGGCGGCTCCCCTCCGCTCGGGGGCTACTTCGCCTCCTCCTCCTCCTCCTCCTGCTGCTGCTGTTATCAAAGGAGGGAGCCGGCGGCTCCCGGCGTTAGGCGCGAAGCCGGCAGGAGCCGGGGGTGTAATTGCCCGCTGGGCTTGGCTGTTCTTGGGCTTCTTGGCAGGAGAGGCAGCGCCGAGGAGCTCTGCCCGGCGATGCCTTTGTGCGGTCCCAGCTCCTCGCCGAGGAGAGGAATCGGCGCCCAAAGGCGGCTGCTGCCCGTCTGACCGACTGCGGCTACTTTGCGCGACGACCAGCCTCTTTCCTCTCCTCTCTTCTCCTCCGGGCCACCTTTCTGAACTTCCAGGGATGGCCGATTGACGGGCAGGGAAGGTAACGCTGAAATGGGGCTTCTCTACGCGGGCTTGGCTTGGCTCTGAGTGAGAAGGCGCATCCCGGAAGGTTGCCCTCTCGAGCAAAGGCAAGCAGGCTGGTGGCCCCGAAGAACCGGGCGAATTTTGGAAGCTGGGGGGGAGGGAGGGAGGGAGGGAGGGAAGGAGCTCCAAAGTAAGAAGAAAGGAGAGAAGGGGGAAGGGGCGGAAAGAGGGAAGCGTGAACAGAAGGGAAGGGGGAAGGGTTAGAAAGGAAGGGGAAAGGTGCAGCGGAGTGTCCCATTTCTCACCTCTGGCACCCTGCAGATTGGAGACTCTGGCTGCCCTCTTGGTATTATGTCTGCACTTCGACGGAAATTTGGGGACGATTATCAAGTGGTGACCACCTCGTCCAGTGGGTCAGGCTTCCACCAGCAGCAAGGGTCGGCCCACAAGAAAAAGCGCCAGAGGTTTGTGGACAAGAATGGCAGGTGTAACGTGCAGCACGGCAACCTGGGCAGCGAGACGAGCCGCTATCTGTCGGACTTGTTCACCACCTTGGTGGACCTCAAGTGGCGTTGGAACCTTTTCATCTTTATCCTCACTTACACGGTGGCCTGGCTTTTCATGGCCTCCATGTGGTGGGTCATTGCCTACATACGGGGTGACTTGAACAAAGCCCATGATGAGAAATACACCCCGTGTGTTGCCAACGTCTACAATTTCCCCTCTGCCTTCCTCTTCTTTATAGAGACAGAGGCTACTATTGGGTATGGCTACAGATACATTACAGACAAATGCCCCGAGGGCATCATCCTCTTTCTTTTCCAGTCCATCTTGGGCTCCATTGTGGATGCTTTTCTTATAGGCTGTATGTTTATCAAGATGTCTCAACCTAAAAAGCGGGCGGAGACACTGATGTTCAGCGAACATGCTGTCATATCCATGAGGGATGGCAAGCTCACCCTCATGTTCAGGGTGGGCAACCTTCGCAACAGCCACATGGTCTCCGCACAAATCCGCTGCAAACTTCTCAAAGTAAGTTCAAGCTTTCTTGCCTTCGGTTCTAATCATATTGAGTATTCAAAGATGAGTATTCATCTTTGCTTAATTTTTTCCCCCAATTTACAGGTGTATGGTTTCATACCTTTCTTAACAGCATTTCACTTAAAATACATACAATACATGTTTTTCTAGTTCCCACCTCATTTTAAAGGATTTTTTAAAATTAAAAATTAGAAATGTTTTAGAAGATGCAAGTGAATAAGCTAGAATAGTCAGTTGTCAGGAACACTACAAAATTCCATGAATGGGGCAGGGCAAGGACAAGTTTGATTTCCCTTCCAATATTTTTCAAAGAACTCTTAGTATATTTCTTGTGCTTGAGTTTTATATTTTCACAGTATTTGCATTGCTATTTCCTATGAGGGAATGTTTCCTGATGCGCATCTCTCTATGAACCATTTTTCCTTAATCTGTTGCATTGCTTCTCGTCTATTTTCCTTTTTTAAAATCGTGGTTTCCTGCATCTGTGGCTGAGTTCCCTTCTTTTTCATTACAGTAGCAGCTTCTCAAACTGCTAATGAATTGAAGTTAATTTTTCTACGTAGTCCGCAGCTTTTAAATTAAAGCTTTCTCCGTCTTTCTGGTTTCTGGATTATAGTCTGAAGTACAATCATTTTACCAGCACAAGTTGTCTTTTTAAATTCTTGATTCAGCCACTTGTACTTATTTCTTTTTGTCAAATTCTGTTTAACAGTTGTATACATCTCCTTTTGTAAATAAAAGAGAAAAGTCATTGCCTTCAAGAGTGTACAGATTGGTGCTTTTTAAATGAACATGACTTTTTAAGGTTCAGTTATTCCATTGGAAATATTGATCATGAAGTGTGTAGGCAGTATGACTGAAGTAGTTAATTCTTTTAAATTCTGTAGATTACATATATTTCTTAAGATTCAGTATGATGATGTCACCACCTTATATTTCTTTCAAAAGCCAGTAAGTTTTAAGTTTAAACATCATTTTGACTGCTGAGATAAACTTGATTCTTAGTCCAAATATGATCATATCGTATAGCCCCCCGAGTGGCTATTATGTACAGTTTATTTAAGGTGCTGTACAGATCTGTTACTATCACCTGTTGAAACCTGTGTTATAGGTCATAGGTATAACCTTTTAAAACGAAAATGTTTCAGCAAGGCCAGTTCATGTTTCAGTTTTGCTGAAACACAATGCTGCCTTATCTCCAGGTTGTGAGGACAACTCCGTGGGTTGACATGCTCCTCCTTCTTGCTGATACATAGGAGATAACACCAGACTGTGTTTTGCAATTATGCCAGCTTCAAACTGATTTAGACTATATATGGTTAATGTTAACACTGGTGGACATGCTGTTGTGGAAAAAGAGTTTAAACTAACCAAAAACATGAATTTGCACTGCAGTTTTGTCATATAGATTATGTTTTCATATTGTAGTAGGAAAAATACATTGAGGTGAACCTAATGTTTCCTCTTTCTTGTTATTACTGTAGTTTTTATGATTTTTGAAGACTACTGTACCGGAAGATTCTGTTAATAAGCTAAAATACTGTCTTATGCAGAGAAAAACTCCCTTGGAAACCTTAAGAATTCTGATTGAGACTTACTACATTGTTACTATTTTAAATTAGGGCAAATTCTTTGACTTCTTTGAATTCAGTAACTTAAGATTCTATTATATATTCAGATCGGTTGTCTGGTCCTTTTTTCTTGAGTGAGATATTTAGGAGTCTCGTTTTCTGATAATTAACTCTGACTTCTAAATGTGCTTAGTGACTTATGGTGAATAATGATACAACACTGAGGTGGGAGTCATTAATTTACAATGTATGCTGTGTGATAAACACTTGTTTAGTCGAGCTCATACAGTCAGTAATGCATACTTTATATTTTTCTGAATAAAGGTAAATTATTATTTTGAGAAATTAAGGATATTTGTAACTCTCACTTACCTATACCCCAATATATTAAATGAATGATAGCATAAATCACTTCTTGTCACTTACCACAGAATGAGGTACATAAATTATTATACTCTCCTGCCCTTTATCTTGCAATATTTGCTTATAGAATTTTTAGATATTTTATTATAAATTTTATATAAGAAAATCCCACTAATGTGCATAGTAGCCATCACTATTAATTTTATCAGTACTTTTAATTTAAAATGATAATATAAATGATATGTGAAATATCCTTGTTAGTATTCATCTAGTGATTAGATTCTAATCTTTTCAAGGCACCAATATATGCACTGTGCAATGGACTTTATTAGATTGTAACAACTAATTATAAAAACAGATTGCAGTATTTATCACAGCCCTAAGTTTAAATTAATTATTTTGCCCCAGATCAAATTTGCATTGTACATTAATTACCCTACTGGTTTATACATTATAAAGTTCTTCTGTTCTATAACTTTGACATGTCTTTACATGTGATTTATTTGATCGAGTAAATGAGGTGGCAAATGTGATCAGTTATATAGGAGAACGTACCCTACAGAAGTATAAAATGTATATGCATCGTTTAAACAGTATCACATTTAAATTGATCTTTTAAAAAGTCTCTGTGTATTCTCTTATGCTGTTATGTAACCAAGAAAAGATACGGATTTAGTCGCAAAGCATTATGAATGAGTAATGACATAATGTACTGCCTCTATTTTATATAATACAGTTAGAAAATATAAAATATATTCCTTAACATGAAGCAACATGTGCATAAAATGTCTTGCTTGCTATTTGGGAATGCTGAATTTCTTCTATAGTACAACATCTCAATTCAGAAAAATAAATTATGGATGACAATTAGGGTATCAAAGCTAATTTCATAATATGTGGTTGATCTTTGGCAAGAGGTAGAAGAAAATCTAGATGTGAAAAAAATATGGGAAATTTATTTAGGAGGTGGGTGGGGCTTACCCAAAAGAACCAAGGTGTTTGTGATGTGTGTGTACATGCACAATTTTCAGCTGAGTGTGTAACATGGAAAAAAATTCTTTTTACACATAACAGTCAAATAAAACGGAATAAAATATATTCTCAAAGTCTCAAAGTAATTTTCACAAAATATTATATTGATTAAAGAGTCAGAAAATGTTAAAATTTAACAAAATATTAAAAGCAGCCAATGAAATTTGGACATGGGTATCACAGTTTATGAAGTTAGATGTCACAGCAAGGTAGCACCCGGATTTCTTCCATATATTGCGAATTTCTTTAGTTTAAATAAATGGGAAGTCAGCTTTGATACCTGGTTCCATATAGGATTAATAAATAATCATTTTTTTAAAATGCAAGTAGATATAGATTGGTGCTTCGTTTGAAATATTCCTTCCCACCCCAAAAATGGCAAAGGTAAGTTGTTCTATACTATAGAAAGAAGGGGGTAGGAAAGGGTACGTTAGATAATGAAGCAACTTTACAGTTTGTTTTCTGGAGAATGGGTGCTTTTTTTTTTAACTGACCATACCTGTCACGGCAGCTGTCAGGCCCATCAATCATACCTATTTTAGAAGAATGTCCATTATGCTCTTTCAGTACTCTAAAAGTATCTCCGCAGTTATCTTATGGCTGCACATATGATCAGATAGCTCATCCAAACAAGTGGGTGGACTAGGAGAAGTAAATAAATATTAAATAAAGGATTGTAAGATTTTAATTCTGACATCCAGAACACAAAATTATGTACTCCTGGAATAAGGATTATCCAGTGTTTTTCACAGACAAAAAGTTGCTGGAACTATTAGACACAGCCTTGAATTGAAGACTGGATTCAAACATTGCAATACATAAATGTGTTATAATTAAAGAAAAAACTATTCTCATTGTCCTATCTCTCTCCATATATTTGTAGATAAATAAATATACAGAGAGAAGAGATAGGACAATGAGAATAGTTCTTCCTTTAATTATAACACATTTATGTATTCTAAAAATTTGAATCCAGTCTTTCATTCAAAGCTGTGTCTAATAGTTCCAGCAACTTTTTGTCTATAAAAAAAATTGGATAATCCTTACTCCAGGAGCAGATAATTTTGTCTTCTGGATGTCAGAATGCAAATTTACAGCCTGCGCTGATGAGATATAGTTTAAGTTATCCTTCCACAATTGATAAGATAAGATAACCTTTATTGTCATTTTTTTTACTGAGGGCACAAAAGCACACATCAAAAATGAAATTTAGTTGCTCGCTCTCAAAGTGAAACACATACATGACACACACCTAAACATACTATGAACAACATATGTATAGACCCACACCCCTACATATACGTAGCAAATAAATATTAAATACTGTCCATCTTGAATATATAACGGAAGGAGGAAGCATGAGAGTTCACATGGTTAATGCTGTATGGAATGAAACTATGGCTGAATCTAGATGTTCTGCTACGGATACCACGAAGCCTTGTGGTGCCTTCTAGGTTTCAGTTCTCAGGATTATGAGCTATGGTCATGTTGACTAAGGAACTTTGCATATTAGAGTCATACACTTGGAAGGTGCCCAGGTTGAAAAAGTCTACTCAAAAATATTTGCCTTATGGAGAATCGCCCTGTCTGGACCTTATTGACTTAGATATGTATTATGATACGGCAGCTGCCGTTTATTTCTTTGAACCTTTTGTATTTACATATTTTTTAAAAGAGAAAAAACGGTATGGAAAAGTATGGAAAAGACTGAATTAATAAAAAGAAAAGATTTTTCAGAACGAGCTAATATTACAAAATTAAGAGCGCAGGCTGTAAATTTTAACAAAATGTCTTCCTATTTCATGCTTTTTTTCAAATTAAATCTTTCTCTTGGTTAACAGTATCAGTTTACAGATTAGTAAAAGATAGTAATTTCCATGGTGTTATTCTTACGAAATAGTGATATCAGAAGCAATAAAACTAATCAGAATAAAATCAGTAGTGGCAATAAGCATCAGAATGAATAGCAAAATGCACTGTGATGACAAGTTATGATAACAAGTGTTATGTAGCAGATAAATTATTTCACTAGTCTTTTGACAAGCTATCCACGATGATCTTACCTGCCTCAGATGACTGTTGTGGTCCTGAGATGGTTTTTCTGAGTAAGACAAGTTAACGTAATGTATAATGTATGAATACATCATTCAACAATGTTTCAGCCTGAAAAACCTCAGAAATAACTGATAGGTCAAATTAAATTATTTTTCACATATCCTACGTTTTTTTAAATACAGTATTAAAATTGCTGTTTTTATAATGGCAACCCAGAGAACATTTTGTTTAAAAAGAAAGATTAAAAAAATGTAACATTTATGTATATTTTGGAACAACCTTACATCCTATTCCTCTTAACGAGAATGGTACATTTTTGCTCCAACTTCATTCAGTATGTAGGCCACTCTGTGGTACTCATTTCCTATCAAATGCAGATTGAAAACAATGAACGAATAGCAAAATTCTATGAAATCAGTCTGTATTTCTTAAACATCTCATGTTTAAAATACTTATCTAAACTTATGTAATAACAAGACATCTAGAAAAACACGCGTTTCTACCTATAATGAGTATTTCTTATACTGGAATTCTGTTATTATTATTATTATTATTATTATTATTATTATTATTATTATTATTATTATTATTATTATTATTATTATTATTATTATTATTATTTGTGCCTTCAAATTAGTATCGACTGTGACTTTTTTGCCAAAGTTTTTCAGAAGTGCTTTGCCCTTGCCTCCTTCCTAGGGTTGACAGAGTATGACTTGCTCAAGGTCACCCAGCTGGCTTCATGCCTAAGGTGGAACTAGAACTCAGAGTCTCCTGGCTTTTAGCCTGATGCCTTAGTAGCTGCTATGCTAATCTGGCTGTATTTGCTATTAGGCTGTTTAATAAAAGCTATTGAATGACATTTGTGTGGCTTTCCTTCCTAACATGGTATATGGTGCCAAAATTTAAAACTTTGAATTCCAAATTCCAAATAATTTATTACAGCAGAGTTTTTCATCTGCAAAATGCATAGAATAACATTCAGATTACAATCCATTCCTGTCTTAAGCATGCTTCCTATTAGTTTTTACTGATATAACTAGGATCAAAATAAATATATTTAATCTGTCAGTAATACTGATCAATACATAGGCATCTGGACATTTTAAAAGTTATCCCACAATAAATAATATAAATTTGCTCCTCTGCATAGAGTCATATTTTTATTACATTGAATCCAATTAAGAAATATCTATATTTTAGCAGACATTCATACATAATTGTCATTTTGGTAATTATTTTTAATTGATGCAGACTTCAGTACGGTTAGAAATTAATAGGACATTACCCTTTAATAACTTGTCCTATTAATTTCATGTGTTCTCTACTGTAGATATAACTAAAGCTTCAATCCTATACATATATACCTGGACTTACCCTTTTGAATAGATACATAAGTACCACCCATCCATTGCAAATATAATTATATTTATTAAAAGGCAGAAGCCGTCAGTGTAATAGATGGCCCCTTCTCTTTTTCTTGGACCAACTTCCAGATGGTTTTCAGAGGATATTTCATGTGCTGGGAGAGAATATAAGTGAAGATACTATAGAAACTTATTTGCATAATATTGAGACTAGTCCAGTATTTGGATCCAATTTTGCATGCATATCCATTCAGTCTTAATACTTTTTTTTAATTTTTAAAGGCACATAAGATTGCTTTTTTTGTTCCTAATATCAGCCACTAAATCAGGAAAAAAATAAAACTTGTGAATCAGTCTGGAATCAAAGGGGATATAGTTAGCCAAGCAGAATAAAATTTTTCTATTGCTATATTTATGCCATCTATCCTTCTTTGGAATGCTAATGAATAATCATTGTACTGTCACATAAAAGCCTTGTATCTCTGAGTTAGTTTCCTTAGCAGTTGAGGCTTTTAAATTGATCCTATCCCACAGGCTGGTTTAGATAGGAAAAAAAACAGTTTGTAGTCTTGTAGGCTGTTATTTCCAAAAATCTTAGGTTGTTTTCCTGAGATCAAATAATTCCTCTTGTTTTGACTGAGCTTCATCTGTTAGGCTACATGTGCAATCATTGTGTCATGGTAAGCTTTCACATTTTCACAGCTTGCTTTATGTGAGTTGAGAGGTAGAGCTTAGTATTATTACTCAGTGGATAAGATCTAGTTGTCAAGATTCCCAGACCAGGGCATAGCTCTAAGTCACATTACTTTACACGGCTTAACTAGGCTGCTAGCTTAACCTACCAGGGGTGTCAAACTTCTGGCCCGCAGGCCGGATGCATCATACCGAAGCCACGCCCACCCCATTGCCGGCAATGCAAAAAGAGTCGCGATATGTCACGACACATCACATGATGTGGTGAGTTTGACACTTGTGACCTAGACAGAAATCTCCAAAACACCTGACTTTGTTATTGCAAACTAGGATTAAACCGTGCAATCACTAGATTGTCCTCTGTAAGTGTGTACAGGCAGTTCTTGCTTTTGTCCATGACATTTTAAACCCATTGCTTTTCCATGCTACTGAAGGGAATCTTTGCCCTTCAACAGCATAGAATCTTTTTATGAGAACAGCCTATCTTAATAAACAGCATTTTAAAATAAGTTTCTTCTGTTTTATTATGAGTACCATTATTATTGTTACAAGACACTTTCTTGTTGGGAATATGTGAAGAGTGAGTCTGTGTAGTAAAAGGGGCAACATTCTTGTATTTAAGCTAATTTTAACAGGAAACAAAAATGCTAATGATAGTTTAAGCCTCTAGATTCTGGCTCTAGAAAGCAAATCACAGGTTTAAGCCAATATACTGCTTAATGGTTATTTGTATTTACTATTTAAAGGCTATGTAGCTGCTTCAGTTAGTTAAGAAATTAATGTATGGATCAAAATCCTGGTCAGTGCTCACAATAAGTTTACATGCAGTAGTAATAGTTGTGTGACAGTGAGATGGAAGGGATACAAATTTAATAAATAAATAAAATAATACATGTAGATACACTTGACTATAATATATTGCAATACATTAGTTCATTGACACAGCTGTTCAGGATCTGAAGATAACTTGACCCAAATGGAAATTTAATAAGGTAAAGAGTAAAATAATTATTTTTTGTGTGTGTTTCCTTTTGGAAGACAATTGAACTTTCATAAATGTTATTGAGACCTCCAGAAATGAATATCATTTGCACAAAGTGCTGGTATTCATGTAAAAAGAAATTACCTTCTAATAGTAGGAAGATACTGAGAGAACTTGAAAGCTTTTGCCTTCCTCCTTTTTTCTGTAAAATAACTTTGTGCCTAATCTGGATGATTCATGGTGAAAAATACTGTATGGCTATCACCTATTGTCGTATTGTCTTGAAAATAACTATACTAGTTTATTACTTCTCTTTCTTTCTTTTTCTCTCTTCATGTTTGCTATAGTCTCGGCAAACTCCTGAAGGTGAATTTCTGCCCCTCGATCAACTTGAACTGGATGTAGGTTTTAGCACAGGGGCCGATCAACTTTTTCTTGTGTCACCACTTACAATCTGCCATGTGATCGATTCAAAAAGCCCCTTCTATGACCTTTCTCAGCGAAGCATGCAAACTGAACAGTTTGAGATTGTTGTCATCCTAGAGGGCATTGTGGAAACAACTGGTAAGTACAGTGATTTCAGAGATAATGAAACATGCGTTTGTATTTTGTTTCTGCCACCACCCCCCCCCAAAAAAAGTAATGTTAATTAATAAAAATCTATGAAAGTCACTTATGGATGCAGTAAATACAGTCAGTAGTAATACTGAACATTTGGAAAATGTTTAAGAGAATCTGTGTCTGAAACGTTTAAGAAATAATGGGTGTTGCTGTTGAAACATTGTTTGAATTGTTATAGGTTGTATTTCTCCCAAATATCTTGAATTGCTGTTGTACCTTATACTCTTTTTGATACTAACATACTTTAAGAAATGACAGATACATTTAAGTTGACTCACATTATACGCAGGTGAGATTTGCATATCTGCCAAAATCCTACAGACATTATGAAACTAGGTGTGTGGAATTTCTTGTTTGAGAGTTCTTTCTTGAACAATAATAGCTTACCAATGAAGCTGAGGAGGAAAGCATGCAGTTCTATAATATATATTTCACTAAACTGAAGAAAAACCATTTCATTAAAAAAATACCTGGTTGGAAATGAATTCAGCTGATATTTGTAGTGAGATCATTCTTCTGAAATGTTTGCCTTTGTCTTGTCTCCCTTCTCCCCTGGTCCCCAAAAAGGCACACAAAGAGGATTGGTGTATATTTTGTTTGTAGTTAACTTTGGTGAAGTTAATAGGCACAAAACCTCTGAATTATATGCAAGCATTAACTAGTATCTTCCCTGTTTCAACAATGCATAGAACAAAAGTGTGTCCTAGTCAATGTTTTAGATGTTCTCAATATTTATTAAAATGGTCATACATGGGAACGTCTACAACTTGATAAATATTTTGCTCTGCCTTAAGAACGCCTATTTATTTTCTAATTCCTGATAATCCCTCTCAGCACTCTCAGGTTCTGCCATACACTTGCCCTATTTTGTCTTGCTTTGTTATGTTTATGTTGGCAGAATAAACAGAATATCTTCACTTTGACAGTACCTCTATCTCCCCCCCCATGTGTGAGAATATCAGCATTGTGAGAACATTAGAACTGTTTAGTGTGGTTGATTTGTTTTACTTACTCATCTATCTATATCTTCTTTCTATATATATAAATAAAAATGTAAATGTTTGTTTGTTCAAAATCTTAAATCTCCGAATGTTCTTCACCGATTGCTTTGAAATTTTGACACAACGTTGCATTCGAATACGCGCGTGTTTCTATATACCTATATTATATAGATGTCACACCTGTGACAGGTAAAAACATGGTTTTTTTGAAAAACAGCGCTATCTGTTGGACGTAAAAACAACACACGCTTTTACCAGACTGAGCCACAGCAACGCGTGGCTGGGTACAGCTAGTTTAGAATATTTACGTGGCTGCTCATCTTAAGTGAATAACTTTAGCTAGTTAACAATAGTACAAAAACTAGCATATTAATGCCAAAGCAGAACACCTCCTTATGTGTACACTGAGCACTCCTCCCCAATAAAGGTGTAAACATTTTTAGGTTCCCCAAGACATTAACTTCATAGGCATTTGAACAGGTCAGTTAGGAATTAATCTTTGTGGTACTTTAGGAACACTACTAGGAATTAATCTTTGTGGTACTTTAGGAACACTACTAATTACAAACAGTTTAGACTCATTAAGTTGCATAACAGTTACTCAGAGGGGTAACATTTATCCACTTTTATTTCTACAAATCTAGCACCCTTTATGTGTTGCCTCCATGCAGTGAATTGCTTACCTTTTCTTCTCACAATCAGACTTTACTAGCAGTTATATGTCTACATCCCCCACATTCTTACTCTGAGATTTTCTTGTCACTAACCATCTTCTGAAAGATGACCCCATTATAGTGACCATCTCAGACAGGTTATTGGCTGTTGCAGGCTTCTAAATCATCCTGGAAAGTTTTATAGTTTGATCCACTGGTGATTACATCAATATGAAAGGACATAATAAACTGAATTCTATTATAACTCTGTCATCAGGAGAGACTAGAACAGCTATAGATTTGATCACTGTTGAGCATCCTCCGCTTCAGATTGGCCTCATGAAATAATTACGGGAATTGAAGTACGAAGCCATTTAAATAGCTGAAGTACATATAGAGAAAAAGTGGACTTTAATTCTTTGAGACATAACATAGACCTCATCTGAAAGCTTTCGTGAATCACATACCAAAGAAGCATTTCTTTCTACGTGTATTGCATTCACATATTTCCCCCAGTGGAGCTGTTGAAAATGAAGATCTGAACCAGTTCAGATCTCTCTTCTCCTGAATCAAAATTGAGAACTTCAGTGGTCAGCTGTGATATTTGTAATGAATATTTTGTCAGTAAAATATCTTGCATCCAAGTTGACTTGGATGCCATGACTGAATTATAGTGATGTTTTAGGATTAATATATGATTCTCAAACAAATAGAAATTCTGCTTAGATAGTGCTATTTACCACCTATCTGTCAGCCCCACCAAGTAAATCTGAGCAAGAACCAATACCACAAGAAGGGCAGGACTATTTTTTATTGAGAGTGACTACAATAACAGAATCTTGCAGGTCTGATTGTCTATTGCCTTCTTCCCTTTTGCTTATTTTAGGCCTAAGCTGTGTTCTTATCATTGCTTTGGTAACAGATCTGGCCTATCTTCATCAAGGTCATCTTATTCTCTACTCTGATTTCTGCCCAACATGGTTCTTAGTATCAAGCCAAAGATTGCCAGTTATTTCCTTAGTGGTGTCATAAATGCCTCTCTGATATTATTTGATAACAGGTAATACCGCAAGGAGAATTAGCTGTGATGGGAGCCAATATTTGCTATGAAAGAAAAAAGTAAAGCCAAGAATCACATCTGTCTAATGCTTTGTCAGACAAAACATTAAAGGATCTGTTGGGAACAAAAGCCTTAATCTGTTCTGAGAAAGATCTGTTGGGCTTGTTGGGAATGCTTCAGGATTTGTCCTAGGAATATAGCATATGATTTCAAGAAGCATTCTGTTTGCATTGCAGAGCTCAGAAATCCACTCTAAATTACAGTGTATATTGAAGTTATTTCAGTTCAATTGTCTAAATAGGCATGTCATGAGACACAGCATATGTGAGACACAAGCAGTCATACATTGACCTGTGTATGTGCAACATAGCTTTTTCTTGCCTTTTCTACAGCAAATATGGAAATTGTGGCACACTTAAAATATTGTTGACTTCTAACTCAGAAATTATTGCTAAGCTTTTATTTCATTGTTTGTACGTATTATTTTTATTCTTCGGTTGTGAGCCACTCACAGTTTGATTTAAGATGGTTGGACATGTAAATAAGCACCATTTCTGAAGAATATAAAATGGGATAGGAAGATAATTGCTTTTTTAATCAAGTGCAAGCATTTTTAAATCATGAAATAAGCACGTGCGAGGTGTTTCTGAACGAAACAAAATGTATATTTTGTCTTATTCTGAGCCTGAAACAAAATTTAGCTGATTCAATGTCATTTGAAAGTTCCAACTATTTTGAGCATTGGATTGGATTTTGGTTTCGTAGCTTGTGCTTAGTTGCATCCCCCCTCCCTTTTCAAACTGTTTCCACCATAGTCGGCACAGCAGCAGAGACCAATTATGATTATGCTGTTATTAGTTTAATTTGGATGGCGTAGTATGGGAGTGGAATGTATAGAGGAAAGAAGAGGTTAAGACAAAAGAAGGTTATTTGTTACTGCATGCCTACTAGCTTGCCTAGTATGCTACTGCTGTTTTTTTAAATTTATTATGGGAAAGTTAATAGCTCGTGTAGTTCGATGAGTGCATTGCATGTGGATTGTGTTTTGTTTAATTTTGCAGACAGATATGCAAATATGTGTATGCTCTACTGTTGATGAAGTTGTGAAAATCTTAGCTCAAAGTTTGCTGTGCAAGTGCATTTTAGAAGTGCTTCTGGCTTATAGAGTGGTATTTTAGGATGCCTTTCAAAATGTAAAAAAATATGTCTTGGTTTGGGTTGCTTTGTTGGTCTTTGAGATGTTGTATACAATCCATGCAAATTTTGACTGCTATTTTAAAGTTATCTGTGATTAAGAATCCCCCAAGTCCTTCCCCATTTTTCCAGCATTTCAGCAAAGAACATCACAATATCTTTTGCTGTGCTTGTATCTTGAACCTGGGGTGAAAAAGAACTATGCCAAATCAATTGCTTAATTTTGCTAAGTAAGCAGGATGTCAGTGCCTTCAGAAAAATTGGCCCAGGACTATTTTATTAAAAAAAATCAGAACTAAGAAAACCTCTTGTATAAATCTTTATTTAAAATTCAGAAACAGTGAATCCATTATTATGACAAGGGCTAGAAAGATTTATTGAGTATTGGAAAATTAAACATTATAAGTGCAATATGGACTAAATAATCTACTCTTGATCAAGAACACCCAAATATGACAGTAGATGGGTCTCTGGAATTATCGTGTATGCAATACCTTTCAGAGATTTCAGTCTACATTGAGATTTATTCTCTGAGAATGATTTAGAGTACGGGTGTTAAACTCGTGATGTCACGTGACGTGTCGTGACATATTATGACTTTTTCCCCATTACTGGCAACGGGGTGGGCACAGTTTTGGCATGACGCATCCAGCCTGCAGGGCGGCAGTTTGACACCCCTGACATACAATTAATTATGTTTGTTGACATCACATTGTTAGTTAGCAAGGTGTGCTGACATTTGCCATTCAGTTAGCGCTGACAAAGGTCTTTAATAAGATGGCGTTCCTAGGCAGGACCATTTTACCTTTTCCAGATGATCAGTTAGACAAGGACATTTTAAACTTAAAAAATTAAAAAAAAACATTTTAGACAGTAACACAATACTGATCTGTGACAGTAATAAAAATTACTAACTAGACAGTAACAGCATTCCCCAAAGTATAAGAAAGAGAAATACGCTACTAAAGTTTAATAAAGAACCAAAGTCCATGCACAGGAAGGAGAAAAGTAGTATACATGACTAAACCGTCTCACCTTTTTGCATGGCGTCACTATACCTCAAGTAGGAGATGTGCTAACTGAAAGGCATGTTAAGGACAGCAGCTGTTCTTGTCTAAATTGAAAAGATGTCCCTTTGTTCTCTTTATTAAGAAGTGGAGAGATTTAGATGACAAATTCTAAATAGGTCCCCCCCCCCAATAAGTAAAAGCAGGGTTGCATTCCTATTGTTTTCTGTGAGCCTTTATTTTTAATCTTTTCGGAAATGTTTTAAAAATTAAAACTCATGGGAATTAGCACTCATTGTGTAACGTCATGTATTCATGTGATTCTGGGGGTGCAATAATAAGGGTGCAGTAGCTATTTCCACAGTTGCTGGAACTGTGCAATCATTTTAAATTTTTCTGCAATTGAACATTCAAAATATTTTCAGTTCTGTTCCTGCAGAATATTTTGAGTGGAGTTGCTTTATTCCAAGCTTAAAACAAAACATGTTTTCCATTTTTTTTAAAAAAAAATCCTACCTTTATTATTTTTATAAATAACTCAAAGCAGCAGACCTACACAATATTCCTTCCTCCTCTTATTTTGTCCACAATAGCAACCCTTTGAGGTGAGCTGGACTGAAAGAAAGCGACTGTCTCAAAGTCACCTAAGCAACTTTCATACGTGATTAGAACTCATAGTCCCTTGGTTTCTAGGCTAGCGCCTTCATCACTACACTACACTTTTTTATACACCTTTCTAATGATTAAGTAAGTAAGTAAGTTATTATTATTTATATATCTGGAAAAGAAAAGTGAAACAGCTTTTTGACAAGGTTTAGCCCAGCTCCATATCCATATAAACCTAATGCCTCTGTTTTATTCTCAGTGTCTTTTTTGAGTATTCCAAAATGGAATTCAATGCATCAGTTATGATTAACTAATATAGTATAACAAAAAGCTGTTTCAAGTGGCCTCATAGTAGAGTTATTTTGAGTAGAACATATTATGAGTTTCTGTTCTGTTCATAAACTATTGCAGTGAGTTAACTTTGCATACAATGGATCAATAGGTAATGAATAAAAATGCCTCATCTCTTTCATTTGTGAAGAACTTCCCAAAGTATTTCTTCATACATATTGGCTGTTCTTATAATGGGATCGGTTCTTATTATAGTCTTTATCTAAACTATTTCCTATAGCTAATATGTCAAAGTCAATAGAACAGATATAGTGTTTAACATTTAACAGGCAACAAAATTTCATTTTTAATGTGTGCTCATAGTAAAAAATGACAATAAAGGTTATCTTACCTTACCTTACTTTACCTTATCTCTTATCTTAAAAAAGTCTATCATCATTAAATGGATATCCTCTACCTGGCTACATGTCCTGAGATAGAGTCTTTAGAGCAGGGGTGTCAAACTGCCGGCCTGCGGGCCGGATGTGTCATCCGGAAGCCACGCCTACCCTATTGCTGGCAATGGCAAAATAGTCCCGATAGGTCTCACGACATCACGTGATGTCGTGAGTTTGACATGTCTGCTTTAGAGCATGGGTATCCAATCTTTTGGCTTTCCTGGGCCTCATTAAGTAAAGAGGAATTTTCTTTGGCTTCATATAAACTATATAATATAGTTAATATATATAAATATTGCTAAAAACCACATAATAATGTTAAAAGGGGCTGTATTACTAGCTCTCCAGGGAGACATGCAACCTGCGGGCTATGGATTGGACACACTTGCCATAGAACAAATTTTGCACAATAGGCTTCTCACTAAAATGTATGAGCAAGATTCTCACATCTTTCCTTTCCTCCTTCTAGAGACTGAGGCACTGAATTGCATTTAAAATCAGAAGTCAAGTCTTTTTTTTAAAAAAAAATTCACATCCACATCCACACTACATAAACTATAGAAGCTTGTTTATTTCATTCACAGAAAAGGACCTTCTGTGTGGCCTCAAGACTATGGAAGGCTCTCCCAGATATTGTGCTTGTTCTTCATTTTTCCGTATTTTAAAAGTGGTAAAGGCATGACTCTTTCACCATGCTTTTAGTTATTGGTTGAGATTTAATTTTACTTATTTTAATTGCATTTTTAAACCTGTATTTCAGTTTTAAATGTTGTAAACCACCTTGAGAGTTTATATAAGTAAAAGCTATAGAACTAATGATAAAAAACAAAAAAGTGAAATGTATTGTGCCCAGCAAATAAATGAACCAATAATATGCCCTTTTAAAAAACATTTTGCTTAACTTTGTGCATTTTTGTAGGATTGATATATTAGCAATGAATACAATTCTTATCCACAAGAAGTATCTAAAAACATTAAAATAGGACATTTGCATTCTGAGTTTGTTTAAGAAAAGCTGTTAATAGATTTCTTCTAATGAAAATATCTTGATTGTCCCACAATGGTTTCGTGTAGAGGTTTCAGGTTTATTTTATTTCATTTTGGAGTTTTTTACTACATAGACAGAAGTATGTAGGTTATCCATTCAGTGCTGCTATTTTCATAAAATTTCAGTATTATTCTGATGCAGAGTGATGACATTCCTAAATATTTTTTTCAAAATATTACTATCTTAGTTTTGAAATAATGATAAATGAAAATTAATGTATAAAGCTTTAATCTAGGAATAGTAGAATCCCCAAATATAGTTATAGCCTGAAATGATCAGCGGCTCTCATGTGGCATTGTTAGAGGAGGTCATCTCTTTATTTATGAAATTAATGTCAATGTAAAATTGCAGCACTATTGTGTAAAAACACTGATGAACTATTGCTTATGAGAATTTAAGGAACCTCAAAAAGAAATCTACAAGAAACACATTTGTGGAATGTTTCTTAAAGTATTATTATTGTTAAGCAATAACATTTATTTTTCCCCCCAAAATAAGTCCAGTTATCCTTCCTGACAAAGAATATGGCATCAAGAATAGGGCGTTTTAATGAGCTAGTCTCAATGAAAAAAAAACAACCAATCGGTTTATTGCAGATAATTTTCTCTTGGATAAGCCTTATATCTTGCATATCACAGGCTTTATGTTTGGTTGGGAAAAAATCTATATCCAGTTATGGAAAAGTCAAGGAGCAAAAACAGAATTGGCATATTTTCTATACACCATACTAAATAGGAAAAGCTTAAAGACAAATACCTTAACCCTCCCTTATCTCATAAAATGGCAGTTTTTAATATTTCCCTTGCTTTCCAGATTGTTGAAAAACTGATATTGGCTGTACTAAGCAAAAGCTGACATGATGTGTATTTGGTAGATAATTCCTTGCCTTGAAATGTGTTCAGTTCTATTCAGTGTGCCTACTCTGCCTACTCATGGGCAACCACAGAACAGAGGCCATCTGGAAGTACTGAAAATATACACACTATCCTTATAGGGAATGCCACAATGGTCTCTGCTGCCACAATTTATTATTTGGCATATGCTCTTTTAGAGATATCATGCACAATCATTTTGATTAAATACAAGTTGTCTTTCTAAGTGGAATGCTTATTCAGGCAGGAGATGGATGGATACCACATACACTAATACAGTGTTTCTCAACCTTGACAATTTTAAGGCATGTGGACTTCAACTCCCAGAATTCCACAGCCAGCAATGCTGGCTGTGGAATTCTGGGAGTTGAAGTCCACATGCCTTAAAATTGTCAAGGTTGAGAAACACTGCACTAATATGTCTATAGAGATTCTCAGTCATCCAGGTCATGGTTGTCCCAAAGGTGCTTTTTCACAAAGCAACTGAACTTTTTTTTTTTTTTGAAGTCCAGTTGCCTTGTGAAAAAGCACCTTTGGGACACATACACTAATGCTAAATATACATACGTACTGTTTTCAAGCATAGTAGCAACCTTCCTTCCTTCCTTCCTGCCTTCCTTCCTTCCTGCCTTCCTTCCTTCCTTCCTTCTTCACCTGAAAGGGCCGCTAACAATCAGGTCCTTCTATCCCTTTCCAATCCCCAGCCCAACCCGA